CATCTTCTTCCGCGTCCTTGCGATGCTCGCGCTGCGCTACATCAACCACACCAAGCGGTAAACAGATAGAAACTATGTACATAATACACACATTTATATATCGCAAAAGGAAATGTCGATGGTCGGCGGTGGGTACCGCGTCTCAAGTAGTACGAATCGTTTATGGACCCATGCTTGGACGCACAGCAAGTCCGTCGCTGCTTGGCTGCTGCCAAGAGGACCGAGCATTTGCTATTGGCTTATCGCCTGGGAAGGACGATAGTTGTCCACTGCCTTTCTCAACAACTCAGCACACTCCGAACGTCCATTCTACAACCCGCACACTGGCTGCGGACCCTCCCCGAGGCTGGTCATTTGCCCATTGGCTTGATCATGTCACTGCCGCCGACGGCGTACGCCATCGCTGGAGCTTACGCTTTTCATTTCCTTTGTATCGGATGCGGCGCGGGGCTGATTGGACGTTCGCTCGCTGCAAAGTCTACGGGGAAGGACGGAGCGGTTGTGCATCCGCTCAAAGCGACCGCTGCTGGGATCATGACGTATGGCGCGCTTCACCTCACTGGTGACGCTGCTTTGCGTCGGTTCAAGCCTCAAACGCAATTGGGCGAAGTCGTTTTCCTGACGGTCAAGTACAATGTCTCCCAAACCATCTTGGCTGGTGCCCTCATTGCGGGCGTCTATGTCTTTCGTGTCGTGGGCACGAACATCGATCCCGAGTTGACAAGGACGAGCATGACGCGCAGTTCAGAAGACTCGTAATCGCGAATATCAAGTCCGTCTACTTTGCCGTCGATTGAAACAGCAAGTTGATGAAATACTGTGTCCCTCGAGAGCCTTCCATGTGAGCGACCGCAAATATAGAGCCTGCAACTAGAGTGAAGTCTTTTATGGGGACGAGAACAACGCTTTAACCGACGAGATGATATATCACGGCCAAACAGTCGCCGCCGGCGCGCCACAACCAGCGTTGGTTGGGCAATGCGGTTGTTTGCAGTCGATTGGTTGATGCAATATGTTGTGGGCATCGTCGATGACGATGGTATCGTGCGTGGAAAAGACGTCGCTCTGTCATTTCGACTCGTACCCGGTGGCTTGCAGTGGGTGCTCCAACGTCGCCAGGCGTCGAATAAACAAAACGTGCGACCCGCATGACAATACTGTAGCACGTCGACGTTGCACCGCGAGATTGCTGGCCGTGTGCAGAGCGTTGGTGGTGGTGGCTCCATCGGGCGTGAAAAATGACGGTCCTCCCTTTTGCTTTTTCTCAGCAACCGACAACACACAAATGCAACAACCAGCACACTCCAAACGTCCATTCTACAACCCGCACACTGGCTGCGGAACCTCCCCGAGGCTGGTCATTTGCCAATTGTCGAGATCATGTCAGTGCCGCCGACGGCGTACGCCATCTTTGGAGCCGTTTCGATCCTGCCGGCTCTTTGTATTGGGCAAGGCGCCTGGCAAATGGGACGTTCGCTCGCTGAGAAGTCTACGGGGAAGGACGCGGCGCTTGTGCGTCCGTTCGAAGGCCTCTTTGCTGGGATCACGACTATTGGCGCGCTTCACCTCACTGGTGACGCTGCTTTGCGTCGGTTCAAGCCTCAAACAGTAATGAGCGAGGCCATTCTCTCTGCGAGCAAACCCTACGCCTCTCAAACCATCACGGCCGGTGCTATCATTGCGGGCGTCTATGTCTTTCACGTCGTGGGCGCATTGTCCTTTGCCGAGTCGACAAGTAGTAGCATGGCGAGCAGTTCGAATGATTAGATATTAGTAATCGCTTATGTCAAGTCCACAGGTTGACTTTTCTGTCCATTGAATTCAAAACAGCCAAAGCTAAGTCGAGGACGGTGACCGGCTTGGGTTGAGGCGTCTCTGACTAGGTCGCGTCAGATGCAGTCATTTGTGATCGATGCGGCCGAGAGCCAGCGAAATGAAAAAATGTACAATATTGGAATCAGGGAGGCTTTGGTCCACAGGCAGTAGGAGCCGCCGCTTTTGACACCGTCGCATTGCCAAAAGAACGATTAACGGCAAACGTTCTTTCACCACCCGTACGTCTTCGCACGAAGTGTACGTTGGACGTAGGAATGGAAAATGAAATGTAATGAGATCATATTACTACGTCTGACTTCTACCTAAACATTTTCCATTCTTCACGCAAGTGTGTATACCAAACCCCACCACTCGAAGCGCTGAAGCCAGATCACAACCACAGTCTCAAATCTCAGACCCAGCAATTCGAATCGTACTAGCATCGATGCATTATTTCAAATCAAATGAATGGAATATATTTTTGTTGTATCACACCTACGCTTTTCGTGTCGTACACTTTATCGCTTGGTGTGGTTGACGTAGCGTAGCGAGACGAGGGC